AGCAGCTGGTCTCATAGGCATGTAAGGAGCTGCATGGAGGCTCTTGACAAATGCTAGAATAGACTGATTAAATTTAAACAGGATTATTGTCTGCCTATTGTTTGGGATTTTAAAGTGGTGGGGCAAAGCCCAGAGGGGTTGCATACAACAACAGCTAATTCTCTGAATGTGAAAAGGTGACTCACATGTGTATTATTCTACAGTAGTCTCCCATGTAGACTTCTTTGTCCTACAGCAGAAATTTTAAAAAACAAACTATCCAGACAGAATCCCCACGAGCCCTAAAAGCCATAACAGTGGACTTTGTGACGCTTGGAGCAGACACATTCCTTACTATCATACCCAGCATTTCCCACTGAACAGCCATGTTGATCTGGCCACCGTCCATCCAGGAGTAGCATGTCTGACCCTCCCCGGGAGGCTGCGAAATGCTTTTGTCTTTCCTTTTTGTCCTGTAACAAAAGGGTTTACCATGCACCCACAGAGCCCGTCTAGTGGCCGTGTGTCCCTCATACAGATTAAGCATTCACATCAGTGAGTCCCTTTCTTAGTCTGATTTGCTAGCCCGGTTAATCTGTTCTGTGTAGTGCCTGGCAGCTTACAGTTCCCCCCCTCCCCATCCTAATTCACTGAGAGCAAGCATGAGGGATGCGAGCGTGAACATGGCTGCAGCTCTCCCTGCCTGAGCCTGCTTCGATCCTTTTAAATGACTATACCCGGAGGATTTCGCAGTTGTACAGAAACTGATATTTCTTCAAAGAGCTTTATCAATTCTACCCTCACACCCCCGGCTGGCTCAGAAAAGCAGTATGATGCTACCTTATTGGCACTGCTGGTCGTGGGATCCTACAGCCTTTGTATAATTCCTTTGTTAGCCACGCTTACTAGGAAAAGAAGTAGGTCGACGATTTCTCATTTGATTCTTTGCTTTGTAAGCATGCTTTAATTTTTATTAAATAAATTGGTTTTAGGACCTCTTGGTTGTTAGCTTTGTGACCTGGAATTTATATTGACTGTACTGTTTCTTGGTTGTATTTATGTATGTTTAAGATGGGAAAGGGTCTGTTGGGAATGAATTTTATTGTGTGTTTTCTGTATGTGGGGACTTAAATTATAATTCAGCTTATCAGTATTCTTGGTATGATTTTATCCTATTACCAAACACTATTTGATTTAATTTTTGTAGGTTTTGCATATATAACTGGCAGTTGTGCAAATGTAGAAAAATCTTTAGAATTTAAATGAAAGCATGAGATTTGTTAGTTGTCTTCTTTAGTTACAATTAATATATGACTCATATGAAAGTTTTAAATGTATATGTGCTTTTAAAAAGCTACCTTAACATATAAAAAATCCTTTTCAGCCAAAATTGTCTTGCTGCTGATATGGAGGGAGGTGGGTCACATTAGGAAAGAATTTAATCTTTTGCTGGAGATCATGACTCTAGTCAGCTTCAACACTGGAGCCTTTTCAAGGGTGGTGCTCGCTTCCTTTGCTTGCTTTCTCTTTGGTATGTGTTGTTAGTGGCATCAGTTAAGAACTTCATAGAGAACCATAGTGTTGTTGGGAAACTGGCATCCAGTCCTTGGTCCTTGGGGATCTTTAGAAACGATGTTACCAAGTTATAAATGGGTTGAACGAAGAGGTATAAGGAACTTATAGTATCTGGGAGTTTAGCAGTGTTTTTGCTGTTTAATGAGTGCATAGAAAAACATTAAAGCAAAAAATAATGACCTTTGGATATTAGTGTAAAGATCGCACAGTAGTTTCTATGACAAATGACAGATCATTGTGCAATTTGGTAGTAGGTCTTGAGAAAGTAGTTTTGCCACGTGAGCAGGGCTATGAAGACAAGAGATTTCCTTCCTCTTTTCCTTTGGCCACAAAAGCATGTTTATTTTTGAGAGACAGATGGCATGGGGCAATGGCAGAGATGCAAACTAAAGCTATTTGCACTCTGTCAGTAATAGATCAGAAGGATTAGCTAAAGAAATGGGCCACCCTCTCTTCCACCCTGGTGGCAGCCTAGCTGACAGACAGTGATCTATAGCAGTGGGCACTCACCTGGGACTCATTCAGGTCTCTATTGACTCATGGTGAGTTGTACAATCATCGTTTAGCATCAGTTCTTGAATCTGATGAGTGAGAAGGAAGTGCTGGACCATCCTCAGCATCCTTCTAGCAGTGTGCCTCTGGTTCCTTTTCTTCACTGCAGTACGAGGTACGAGGATGCCACATGATTTGGAAGAAAAGCACTTTGTTTTGCTCAGCTGACCAAGTGGGCAGAAGGATGACTCTTCCCGATCCTCAGTTTTGTTTTTCTTGTGGCAAGAACGGTTAGTGAGTATTGTCAATACTAGAAAGTTGATAAGAACCTATAGAGTTGATCCTTTCTCAGGCTACCTCCAGGTTCAGAGGAAAAGGTTGGTGTTTGACTAGTGATGTCTGGCACAGGCAAAGGATCAAGCTGGGCAGTGTGTGGCACTGACTCCGGGTCACAAGACATGTTAGTGTGCACACCCTTTTATTAATCTTTGTTCTTTTAGTATCTTTGTATAGTGTGTATGAGACAGTCTTGTGATTACAAAGTTAAATGAGTGTTGCTTTTGAACATTTAGAAACTTGGGCTTGAGTGATTTGATTTCAAGCGAAGGTAGGCAGATAATCTGGCACAGTGGGGAGCATTAAGATGATTCACAGAGAATTTCAGAAGAGAGCAAAGTGTTGTCTCTGTGCCGATACATGTTGTTCAAGAAAACAAAAACTCTTTTCAACTTAGACGCCAGAATGTAGTAAGAAATGTTAGTTCGCAAGTCAACTCTGGGACCAGTGAGAAGCTCTTTTGCTTAGTAGGATGATTGCTGCGTCTGCTTAGATTTTTATGAAACAGTCGCTGCCTTCTCTTCTTAGGTTTTGTCATCTTCACTTTTGAGTCCACTTGAACACACCCTGGGATGGGGAAAGGAAAATAAGGATTCCAGAAAAGTCTGTTGTAGCATAAGCAAACACTTCTGACAAAGGAGGACATGAAAATAGGACAGCTCTGGATGAGGAGATCATTAGAAACTATTCCAATTACCGTGCTAGCCGCTGAGTAGAAGATAGAAGACACACTTCAAGGGCTTCCTGCCTCAGAGTAGCACTTAACCTTCCAGGCTGGAATTTATTGGGAAGTAATGTACCAGCCAACAGTAAAGGGCTTGGAGAATTGAGAGAATACGTACATGTTAGGTCGTGCAAGTATGTTTGGCTTATTCCATCCGGTAAAGTCAGAGTTCAGACAATGGATAATCATGAAATGTGAATATTTGCCATACACACGTATATAAATATATAAGTATATGTAAGAATGTTGACATGTATATTTGTGTCTGAGGCTAGCATATTTTGTTGCTGACATGAATTTTGACTCTGTTGTGTCCCAAAGTTGACTGAATCCGTTGTCATAGTGAACCTTCGAGAGTTAGCACCAAGCTAGTTTTATTTCCAGAACAGCATCTACTGTTCTGTGAGGCCAGCAGTCAGGGGTCTCGGGCCTCATAAGAATCATGTCCTTCTCTTCAGTGAGAAATTCCTTCAGGAAGTTTTGTAAGCAGCGGATCTTTGTGTCTAAATCTCAGAAAGGTGAGGCATGCATCCAGCATTGTGGAAAATCTTATCTCCTGTTCATAAATTGAACTGAATTTGGTTCAAAGTTGGAACAAATAGCTTAATTTGTTGCTGAGTAGAATCAAAGTTGCTCCAAGATAAAAGCAAGTCTGAAATCCAATTGTTAAAACAAAAGGGACTTCTCTGATTGGATTCAAGTCAGTTGAGCACCTACTGAAATCCAGTGCCCACTTGTCGTGAAATATTGGTACTGACCCCTGCCCTGCCCACCATATGTCCTTTAGAATGTTAAGCTGAATGATATACCGCCTTGTCCATTAGCATCCTGCCAAGTTTGGAAAGTTCCACTCTGTAGGTTCTGGGCAAAGTGAGAATTGAAAAGCAGGACAGAAACTGGGCAGAAGCTTGCCAGCGGGAGGGCAGGTTGGTTCCGATCTAATATTAGGAACGTTATCTGGGCATAGGTGAGCTAACAGATGGCTCAGTGTACAGATACCATGTGAGGACCTGGAGAGCATCTGACGTGTGTGAGCATTGTTGGTGGGGATTGAGGTCATTTAGCCTACTGAAAAACTTCATGTTGACTTCACATTAATAATTTGTTTGTGAGCAAGAGAAAAGTATCACCCTTTCCTAGGCCAGGAAAAGGGTCAAAGTCAGTCAACCATCCTGCTTCAAGGTGCATATACTAAAATTGAAATGATACAGAGATGCTCACAGGGCTCCTGCACCTGGTGACACACATTCATGTGGAACATTCTATACCCAAAAAAAGTTATGACTTATGTGTTGAGTGGCAGGATAGAACTGGATGCCTAGAATTATGCGTTGACCATTTCTTCGAGAAAATAAAAGATCGGGACTGGAAGTGGCGAAGAGATTTTGTGTTTTCATATAGATGATTTTCACTATGTAGGTGAGAGTCTCTTTATGTTTTTATTTCACTTTGAGGCTGTATACCTTTGTAACGGGGTGGATATGCTGGTAGTTTTACTTCTCAATGCAGCTTCTTGTAGACCAGATCTTATCTTTGAAGCCACTGAAGATTTTGTCTATTTTTTTTTTTTAACATCAGCTCCTTACAATCTGTATTGTTTTCATGGAGAGGGATACTTTCTTGTGTATACATTAGGTGTGTTTGTTACACAGTATGGGTCACCGTTTATCTTCTACCTGAGATAAAAACCAAGCTGGACATGGACATAAACTTTGACTATGTGAGGAAACAAAATGAAATGTACGTTTTTGCATTCTGAGGACAGCACTTATTTCGCATACTTTAGGCCAGAAACTATCTCTGAAATCTTGACACTCAGTAATTGTTGTCATATTGTAGTCTCTTTGGAATAAGTATGGGGAACATGTGTTTATGTGTTTATGTTTTGTTATAGGTGGTAATGCTGTCATCAAGTATGAAGAGAAACCTCCCAAACAAGCATTTCAGAATGGATCAGGATCCTTATATCTGAAGCCTTTGGTGCCCAGAGTTCATGCACACTTGCTCAAAACTCCTCCAAAAGGTATTGTCTTCATTGTGAAGAAAAGAAAATTAAAAAAAATTTAAAACTGTGTGGCTTTTGGGAAGTTAAACTTTGACAAGTACATTTATGGTACTTGTAACAATTATATGCTTAAATGCCCATTGAGTAAGGACATTTTAATAACGAGTTGCCATTGTTCCAAGAATCTGCAAATTCTACAGGTAAATTCAATAATGAAAAACAGCAGGTAGGGGCTAGAGAGATGGCTCAGTCGTGAAAAGCACTGACTGGTCTTGCAAAAGACTCAGGTGCAGTTCCCAGCACCCATACAGTGGCTAACAGTCACCTGTATCTCCAGTTTCAGGGCACCTGATGCTGTGCTTGCTCTATCTCTTGTGCCCGCATGCACACAGACCCACGTTCAGGCAAAACACCCCGAATTCACAAAAAAATAAGAAATAAAACAAACCCCAGAAATCAGCCGGTAGAATGGAAGATGCCTGGATAAGCTAACAAATAAAACTAGCGTTCAGTTGTTCTAGGATGAGCCCCGAGGTGACAGCAAGAGACAGGAGCATGGCCCGTTTCCTGTCTGTGCCTACGGTTCATGTCTGTCACCTGCTACCCTGTTTCCCTTTTCTCTCGGCCGTTTGTTTCTGAAGATCTTGCCATTTACTTTGCCATCGCGGTGGGCACTAAGAGAGAGTGCGGTGTGTTGTATCTATGTATTCTTAGCCTGCAGCGCATCCAGGCAGCCCTGTCACAGCCGAGAGCATGACGAGCTCTGCTCATTGCTCCTGGAATGCTTGTCTACCTGGAAGAATAAATGAGACCCATGTTTATTTCAGAAAATTGGAAAAGCAGCCAGCAGCCACCACGGCATCCCCTCTCAGTTTCCTCTGCATATAAATGTGGTGTTCTTTGTTTTGTTTTGTTTCAAGGAAAGTGAGCACAGTGGTTTCAACTTTGAGTGTATGTATGCTGACATATATGTAAAAGATCATGTGATAGCTTGAGGTTACTGACCTGGTCTACATTTAGCAATGTTTTTTTTTTTAAATTTCTACTGGGTTGAAGGGGAAAAATGAACAAAAATATGGGGTTGGGCGAGTCCTGGTTAGAGGTAGGTTATTCGTTGTGCCATTAGGTTCTTATTTGTCTTATATACAGCTCTGAGGCATCAGATGCCCCCCTGCTAGGATGGCATTAATAGACCATGTTTTTTTTTAAAATCATGATTTTTAATCTCCACACTATCCCCAATAGTAACTAAAAGTAAACCCTGTGATGGAGTTTTGATCCTGAGGTGACATTCAGAGGACAACCAGAGGCCCCACCGATAACTGCAAAACCGGGCAAACCAGTGTTTTAAAAGGCCTGCACTGAGTCTGCAGGTGTCTCATAGAGGCTTTATCTGAGAGGGAGCCGGTGTGTTCCATTTATGATGGCTACATACTTTTAAGCGATTATCATCTCTTTAAAGTTCCGCAGATGGACTATGGCAGTCCTGACCAGTCATCTACAGATGGCTATTCACTTGGCAACGGTTTGATGTCAAGCACAGGCATTTCTAGCTCTGCTAGTATTTTCCTGTTTGGTTCCTGGCTGCATTTTATATTGCATCAGTCTGGAGAAGAAGCTCCAGGGTATTTCTTCTTCCCAGCCCCTTGGGAAGGTGTACATCAGCAGCCCTCTTTCACAAAGTATAGCCTGTTTCCTATATGCAGTAGAATAGGCAAACATATGCGTTCCGTATTGCTAAACGATGTCTCTCCTGCCCAGGGTGCAGCTCGGTGCTGAGCATTCTCCTAGTCTGTGGGGCCCAGGATTCAGATATGCGAGAGTAAATAATAAGTGAACTAAACTGTAAATGAACTTTTCCTTGACTGCAAAATACACCATGCCTTGTCCTTTTGAAAACGGATACTTTGTTCTTGATTAATGCATATCACTCTTAATATTGTAAATATCTCATTTGTTAATAACATCTATATTTGAAGGATGCTTGATAAAATTGTTTGCATCTTGGGATTTTCTCAGTGGTTAGCTGTAACCTAAAATTTACAGGCTAATGGAGGGCTTTTGAAAAAAAAAACAAAACGAAACCACTCGTATTTACAAAATGGCTTGAGTCATGCATAGTATTATTTCCAGTAAAACATGTGCTTTATGTTTCTTTCACTTTCTAGGTCCTTCGAGAAAAAGTCTATTTACAGCTTTTAATTCAGGCAAGTGACCATTTTAAGCATGAATGATAAAAGTCTTTTTATTTGAAAAGTAATAATTAAACATACTGGAATTTATTTATAATGACTTTACTGGTATGCTCGCAACTCAGAATTCAGGCTTCACGGTGTCAATTGCATATGTGACATGGGCGCTGGGGAAGCACAACTGAGCCTTCTAACCCAAGAAGAGCACACTTTATTATATGGATACGTTTAGCTTAAAATGATTTTTTGTAAAATAAAAGACAGCTCTCCAAATATGAATGTTATTTTCAAACTGAATCATCTTTAATTGTAAAATTGTCTTAAGATTTACTTTTTAACCCCTTGTATTAGCTTGGCGTCTTTCCATTTTCCTGGCTCTCCCTAAACCCCTCCAAGTCCCCTTGTTCAGACATAGATCTCTAAGGTGGCCTACAACTTACACATTGAACCACATTGAGAGTCTGATTACTGTCTTTTGTGGAGCCATAGATTTTATAAAATGTATTCGTTGAAATTCCCACATGTGACATGCAGGGCTTTATGCAGTCAGCCGTGAACTACCTACATGTTCTTGTTTTATATTACAGTGCACTCATGCGGCTTCTAGGCCCACTGCACACAGAGCAGAAAACCAGAGAAAAGAAAGGCCACGCTGCAGCCTGTAAACTAGCTGACATCCAGGCTTTCATAGAGCCAACACAGGACGCAGTTGTGAGCCATGTGCTTCTCCCCAGGGTTAAGCACAGTGGTTAGTTATTTTCACAGCTCAAGGCTGACCTAAAACTAGCTCAAGCCTAAAGAGTAAACACTGCCGTGCTGTGTGGCCTTTGAAGTAAAAATGCTTGTAAATATTGAAATCCCGTCTTGTCACACACCACACAGAGATCAGTTTCAATGAGTTACCCGGTGCGTGTGCGGTAACAAGTAGCCTCTTGGGTGTTTGAGTTGGTTCTATAGATCACATTCATCATGATTCCATTGTGAACTGTTTCACTATCATCTTCGTGATTTTCTTGTGACATATTCTTTAAGAGGGTATTAGTAAACTAAAGCCCATGCACACTGTAGTTCCTCGGATCCCCACATTCTTTTCACAAAGCTTCATACTAGATTCTGGTATGATCCACAACGTAAAAGCGCCGACCACGTTCTGGTCAAGCTCAGATTTACTTTTTTATCTTCCGTGTGTTTCGCCTGGATGTTTGTCAGTGCACCACATGCACACAGGGCCCTGGAAAGCCAGGAGATGATATCAGATCCTCTGGATCTGGAGTGACAAACATTCAAGAGCCACCGTGTAGGTTCTAGGAACTGAACCCTGGTCCTTTGAAGGGTAGGGTTTGCTCTAACCTATGAGAGCTCTCTCCAGCCTCTATTTAATATTTTTTTTTGGGGGGGGAGACAGATGAAATATCATCTTCACCACATCTGAAATGTTCTGTCATTATTTCGGTTTAACAGTTAAAGAAATTCCATTACCTCAGAAGACAGAAAGGGACAGATGAGAATGACCTTGAGAGGCTTGGGCGTTGGTGAAAAGCTTAGTTCTTCACTTCCTATTTGTGGCCTGACTGTGGCTACTTGCTAAGCCCCTCCAGAGCTCGAGTTTCTCCTTTGGCAGCATGAGAACATTCAGCAGATAGATCCCAGTGCGGGAATCATTTTGACCGTGTAGAATGTTTTCATCCCAGGTTCTCAGACGGTAGCTAATCCTGCTGCTAGGGCTGACAAGGTTGGCAGCTCTCCTTTCACTTTTTGTGGATATTTTAGAGGTGACCCCCCTCCCAGGCGTCAAGTTCGTGAAATCATCAAAGCAAGTGAGAAAACCCACCAAAAGTTATGAACCACCTTCATGGGGGACTAGCTGTTGTGATTTATTTAAAGGCTATGACACTGTGAGATTCTAGGCAACATTATCTCTAAATAAAACATGCTCGCTGTTTATGATGAAAATGTCACACACCACATCATGCTATTATTACCGTGGTTCCAAAACTCATGGGAGTTGTTTGGGATACCATAGGCATCCAAGTTGGGTTTATCCAGTTCTCTGTTTTATATGCCATCCCTGTCAGGTGCCATGATGTCTGCCCTGGAAGTGGAAACACCTGTTCTTTCTGCGCCATTTCATAAATATAGCCTGCGGCGTTCTGCCTCTCCTTTCTCCCGTGTCGCGCGGTGGTTGAGGGTGGCAGACCTGCTCTGGGGAGGTGACGCGATGCTGCCACACCACTGTGTGCCTGCCGTCTTTTCCTTATTGAAAAGGTGACGATCTCGACTTTGCCCTTATGCTGAAAGGGCAGACACCCTTTAGCTATCTGAAAATTTTAGTGCTTCACATTAGGAAGAATGAATCATTTTAGTGAGTCTCTTCACACAGGTCATATGAACGTATTTCAGACAGAAAGGTTTTAAATGTAGAGACCAATAAAAGTGCCACAAATATATACCTGACTAGAGAAGGCTTTTCCTGGAACACAGGTGTAATAGGAAAGATTAATAATGATCGCACATGATTGGAGCTTTGTTTGGTCAAAATGGACATTACAACACTTGTTCTTTGTAGCACTCTTGAAAATTAGCAAGACAGAGCAGAGCCATCACCATAGTGGACGTTATATGGGCCTATTGTCTAAGACACTTCTATCAAATCCTCATTGCATATTTTTTTGACTATGAAAAAAAGTCTGTGAAATTCATGAGGAACCAGATAAGACCCCCAAAAGGGCCAAAAACAAGCTTGTGGGGAAAACAAAGCTGGAAACATCATAACTCTTGCTTTCCAGTCTATCGGTTTGTAAGTAAAAGAGTGGGTTGGCGCAAAGTTAAATACAGAGACCAATGCCATGGGACAGTCCAGAAATAAACCCGTGGACATACAGTCCACTGAGCTTTGACAAAACTTCCAAAAACATCCAGTAGGAGAACTACAGTGTGAGGAGAGCCAGATGTGTACGGCCGAAGTAAATCTCGCCTCATACACAGGAAACAGCTCAAAATACATTAAGAGAAAGCTTGAAACTGAAAAGTGCTTAGGAAATGAAAGGAGAAGGCGTTCGTGGCTTTGTCGCTGGTCGTGGTTTCTTGGCTTGATACTAGAAACATGAGACGAGCAAACCTGGACAAGTGAGACGATCCCAAACGCAAACCTCTGCAGAGCATGGGGACAGACAGACAGACAGTTGCATGGTTGGTGGCCTGCAAGACGGAAGGGACTGCCTGCAAGTCATATGCCCAATGAGGGCTGCTCTACCAAAGTGAAATGCGGCATCATCCCCAGTGACTTGGATGTAAGAACAGCTTGAATGTCTGTGTAGGGAAAAAGTATGTACTATATCCGTACAATGGAATGCTCTTCACAGTACCTGCAAAGGAAATGATGCTGAGGAGAGATGGCTTGTTGTGGGTATCAGGACTTGTCCTGTGAGCATCTGTAATCTGAGCACTCAAATGGGGAGATGGGAAGCGACACAGAAGAATCTCTGCAAACTCGTGGCTCAGGTAGCCTGGCCCACACAGCAGAAAGAAAAAACCTGGCTCTAACAACGGATGTCAGAGGCTGACCCTTGAGGGTTGTCCTCTGCCTTTGCCGTGTACACCGTGGCCCGTGCATCATTCCTAGGCACCAAATGCACAGGCGTACAGTGCACAAAAGAGAGGGGGAACCTTGCTGACTTTGCTCACATTCAGTATCTAAAGTAGTCAGCATCATAGCAGGAGAAAGGCTTTCTGGGCACCCGGAAGGTGCTCGCCAAGAAGTGGGAAGTTGCTGTTAGATTCCGTTAGGAAAGGTTAAGATATTGTTACAGCACTGTTACAACGCACGTAGTTGTGGCATAGTTAACAGGAACATGCTTTTAAAATTTGTGGAGGGTAGAGTGTGTGTTCTTGCTACAGTGATAGAAGATGAACACAAAAAGCTTAGACTGGGAAAAATATGTACAGCTAAGAAACAAAATGACTTGGAACTGTGCACTTTCTGCTTGGCCTGTTTTTTTTTTCTTTTATGTGATTATCTATGGATGACGAATAAAGAATAGGATGTACCCACTGCACAGGAGTGTAGATTTAGGAGTCGTTGCATAGAGCACAGCCTGAGGGCATACATGACCAGAATGCACCTAGGACGAGACTCTTATTTATTGCTTTTCAGGATTCTTTAAATTGGGGGGGGGGGGGGGTGAGGAAGAATGAAGTCTAGGGAGATGGCTCAGCAGTTAAGAGATTTGCTGTTCAAAAAATAAAGCCCCCCCGAAACAAACCCAAAACCCCACCACCACCAACAAAAGTCAACTAAAGTTTAATCCTTATAAATTGTCCCATCTTTAAGTACCAAACTTTGCTTTTCCTGTCGTCTTGGCTGAGCTTTTTGCTGATCCTCTAAAACTACAAAATAACACCCGGCATCTTTTTTTCTTTGCACTTATGCTAGCTGGCCACCAGGGGGCAGGTGGTGTTTGGGAAAGAATTGAAACTGAGCAGTTTGAGGCTTGTTATAAGCAAGCTTGGACTCTTCGTGTGCAGGCATTTTATATGGGGGCATTTTACAAACAGCTACATTTGACTTGGGTTTTCCTTTCCAGTGACATTATTTCTTTTATTTCAGGTTCTTGCTGCGTTTAGGGGGGAGGGGCTAATAGTTCATATGTGAGAGAGAGCTTAATGCTAGTGTAGTTAAAGTCCTTTTGTCCTATTTTATGTGTCTAGGTGTTTTGCTTGCACGCATGACTGTGCACCAGATGCATGAAGGATGTCTGAAAAATGCCAGAGAAGGCCTTGGATTGGATCCCTTGGAACTGGAGTTACATTTCTGAGCTACTGTGTGGGTGCTGGGAACTGAACATGGGTCCTTTGGAGGAACAGCCATTTCTCCAGCTTCTTCTTAAAATAAAACGTTTAATGAATATAACTGACGAGTGGGTTGCTTACGTCTTCCTTTGGGTGGTGTAAGCTAATGGATTTTCCTTTAACAGGACAATTTAGAGTTTACTGTTAACAACCTCCCCTAAACCAAA